CAATCACATGGAGGACCTTGCTCAAACCTCTGCTGTCTCAGTGTGCTCACAACTGGGGTCGTTACTCAAATTCCTGTTGTCCGTTTCCTACCCAATGGTTTTCTCAGTGTTCCCTGCCTGGTGGCACTTACACAGGTGCCCTCACACAACAGGCCCTGCTCCAGCAGGGTCCTGGATCTGACAGGATCTAAATAGTCAAGGTCAACTTCCCACCAACCCACTAGCCTCTGGCTGGTCTGCAGAGTTCACAGAAACCAGCTGGCTGGCTCGTTTTTATAGTAACTATTTAAATCACTGTTCAACATAAATCACTTGCATCACAGAGGCAGCTCAAAGAACACCTTTTTTTTTAAAGTATTTTTTTTATTCTAATCCATAGTGACCCTAAGAGGACAGAGTAGAACTGCCCCATTGTGTTTTCACAGAAAAAGATAAACACATCCTTTTCCCATGGAGCGGCTAGCAAGTCTGAACCAGCAACCTTTCCGCTAGCAGCCAAGGGCTTAACAACTGTACCAGCAGAGTTCCTCCCTGTAAAGGTTGAAAACCCTGAGGGGTGACACAGGGAACTGACTCAATGGCAGTGAGTTTGGCGCTTCGATTTTCCTTTGTTTTCTCTTTCAGTCTTTTGAGTTTAAATGGTTTATTCTGCCTTCTTTGTTTCATAACAAATGTGCTACAGTCACACACTTCCTCCCAAGACTGCTTTACTCCACCCACAGCCCGAGTACAGTGCTTCCACGGTGAATTTTTAAATCATGTAACATGATCACTTGCATTCTCTCTTCAACTCAGAATTATTTCCAAAGAGGGTGAGAAATGGGCACGTTGATAAATCTTTCCAAACTCTATGCTCCCGTGATTCTTTCTAGCCTGTCTTTTCTGGTCAGAGCACCTGGTCACCCTTTGTTAAGCATCCTTAGAAGTCTCTGAAGTAGTACTCTGTCTGTCCTTTGATCTGCTCTTTGGCAATTGATTCTGTCTCTGTTGGAGCTTCTCCTCACATGTTTGGGGATCACAGTGGGGGGCTCTCTTCATGTTTGAGGTTCCCTGGTGGCCTGCTTGTCTGTGGCTACTACTCCTGTCCATTAACTCATTCACAGAGTGAAGCTGACCAACAGGGAGGAGTTTCAGTCAACTCTCCTGAAACTCTCAGCACACTTAAATGGTTCTGTTCTGGGGACATTACTACAAGCAGGACTTCCAGTAACAGTACCTGAGATCCAGACAGCAGAATATCATGGCCAAATGCAGGTATCAGTAAGTAACAAAGCTGACTCGAACCCAGGCCTCTTGGCTCAAGCATACGCACTCCTCACAGCATCATGTTGCCTTTCCAAGACCCCCAAATACCCTCCCACACACTCCCAGCCTTAGCTCCTAATAATCAGACCACTCATGGAACATTTCAGCATTTCTCTTTTTTAAAAAAAGGTGACAATAATAACCTTTATAGCAAATTACAGAAAATTACAGGGTTTCAATCTCCTGATACCACCAAGTGTCATGCAGCATTCCTCAGATACTATCATTCTTCCTTCCTCTACAATTCTAGATGGTGAAAGGGGTCCCCAGATTGGAGGATTCCCAATCCCGGGACCTTGGGATAGGTCAGGGCATTGAGGAAATAAATTAGGGGGAGAGGAGGCTCCTAGTTGGCCTTGTCCAGCTTCGTCTCACAGACCCAGCGATAGGGCCTCTGGCAGACATCATCATTCCAGCGGCCATTGTCGGTGAAGTGGGCACAGTCCTCGCCTCCCCCGAGGCCATGCCCAAACCAGTTATCTGGCTGCTCCGGCCTCCAGTTCCTGAGGGCACAGCACAGATGTGGGCCCAGGAAGTGTATCTGGGGCCAGCCAGGCTGAGCAGGGGTGTGGGGTTTACAAGAACACACTCACTTGAAGCCTGACTCGTAGTCTGTCCCATCCACCCATTTCCAGGGCCCGCTTTCATCTGTGAGGCCCATCCAGGTGTTTGCATAGCCTGCATGATGCTGGATAAAATTCTGGGAAGAGAGGACGGTGGTGATGACCCATCCCTTGACTAGCCACCCTCCAAGGCAAGGCTCTCGGGGCCTCACCTGCTCATCCCAGGAGGTGACCACGGCCAGGTGAGCATCCTCCAGCTGGCAGTACTTCTGAGCTTCGTGCCAGGACCTCCCAGAGCGAGAGAACCAGTAACAGCTGCCTTCAAACTCCACCCAGTTAACGGGACAGCAGGGCCTTTCTGTACCTGATAGGACGGAGGATGGATGGGCTAGGGCACTGCCTGGAAGGGAGCTGGCCAGGGGAGGAGCCCGGATACCCTGCCTCCTCACCATTGCCCTGGAGGATAGAGAGCTGACAGGTCAGGCTGCGCAGGCCAGACACGAAATGTTTCATGTGGAGTAGCAAGCTGGAGTGATCTGTGGTGCAGAACACAGGGAGCGAAGTCAACATGGACGCTGGGGAGTTGGTTTATGCTGGGGGCCCAGAGACCAATGCCTGGTGCCCTTGCCCCAGATGCATTTGTTTGGCTTGAGGAAGTCCTTATACACACGTACTCACGGGCGCATTTTCTCTCTCTCTCTCTCTCTCTCTCTCTCTCTCTCTCTCTCTCTCTCTCTCTCACCTTCGTTCATGAACTGTTCCTGCTTCGACAGCTGGGATTCTAGATTCTTCATCTTGCGGTTCACACTGCCTCCTGCAGGGAGACACTTGTTCAGTATCCCCAAGACGCACACTGGTCCGGCCCCCAGCCCCTGCCCAGCCCGGCTCCCTCACCCTGCGAGATCAGCACCTTGACCTCAGCCTTAGTGTTCACGGTGAAGTTGCTGACTGTCTCTCTCAGGGCCAGCAGCTCCTCCTGCAGCTTGGAGTCTGGGCAGGAGATGGCATGGACAGAACCAAACAGGGGGTCTACCACCTTAGGGCCCCCTACTCAGCCCCCAGTATCGCCCTATCCTTGCCCACCCCTGTGACCCTCACTTTGAGATACGATCACGCAGACGACAACCAGCAGCAGGACGCTGAGGACCAGGGAGACCAGGAGGAGGCAGGGTCCGGAGCAGAGACGTCTCAGGACGGACCTGGGAGGAGGAGGTCCTGCAAGGGGGGAGGGTGCCAGGAGTTCAGGCGCGGAGGAGAACCCTGGAAGCTTTGGGGTGCGAGGAAAGAAACAGGCTAAGGCCCCCTTAATAGGCTAGGAAGACCCTTAAAACCAGTTGCTGCTGAGACAACTTGAGAGGTGGGAGGAGAGCGTGGGGGAAGCGCGGCTGGCTTAGCCTCACTCAGGTCATGCGCCTTTGCTTCCACCTCGTGGCCGTCCTGAGTCACTACAGCTGATTAACCTCCGGAGCCTTGGACTTGAGGGCAGATTTGTACAGAGGACGTGACTGATGGAGCTGGGGGTCAGCTGAGGCATCACTGTTTTCTGTCCCTCCCTCAATGCTGGGCGAGACCGGGAGGTCTCCTCGTACCAGGAACCTTAACCTTCCTTGACTGAGAGCAAGGAGAGAAGACAGAGGAGCCAGACTCCAAGCCTCTGGGGCTGCTCCCAGCAAGAGAGAACACCCCTGTGAAGTCCCCTGTGAGCTGGGGGATGGAGCCTTTCCCCGGGCCTTTGTGCTTCTCTCTCCCCCCTGAAGCCCCATCACCCTCCAGAGCTTACAGCCCACCCTTACACCCCAAAACACATCGATGTTTTTCACTCAGGAGGGCCTCATCCATGCTCTGTCTGAGCTCCCTTGAGGCCTGTTCTACCCTCTAAACTCTTTCTTAGGCCTTTGAGAAGCTCTCTTAGAAGCCTGAGGCCAATCCTTCTTTTGCCTTGTCCTCCTAAACCATTGCCCAAAAATGAGGGCCCTTCCTGAAGTCACCTTTCTCAGGCCTTCTGCTCCATGCTGCAGGCCTTCTCTCCCTCACCAACTGTTTCTCCTAAAAGAATCTTTGTTCTTTTATAAGCTCTCATCCCTACATCGCCAGCATTGTTACAAAAACCTGCCCTACTGGAATAATCCCTGACCCCATATACACACACATACCCCCAACCCTAACTCACACACATACACACACATGAAGAGAGAAAGAAAAAAGGGTTCGGGACTAACTTTCCAACCAACAAGAGACGACCTCATCTACTTCCAGTTTGTTCTTCACCCCTGCGCTCACCCGCCCAGGGCCTTGAGTGCCATGACAAAGCCAGAGGACCGCAGAGGACTTGAGCACCTGTTTCCCAGACAGGAACCCAGCAACTCCTATGACTGACCCCAAAACACAGGAAGACGCTGAGGCTGAGTGAGCCACCAAGGGCTTGCTACTCTGAAATAAGGCAAAGTTACCCTCTCACCCTCTCTGAGCTGATGATGGTCGCTCTCCTCATTGTCCAGATGAAGGCCTTGATAGTCATCAGTCATGGTAGGGCTGGGCTGAGCTGGAAATGCGTTAGACACTTCACAGGGTGGGAGCCGTGGTGTGTGATTGCAGGGACACCTTCCCTCATTTCCACCCAGGCTTGATATCCAAAAGGCACTCCCAAAATAGTCTTGCTCACCCCCTTTCCTCCCTCCTGCCCCCTCAAGCCCTCCCCCTACCTTGCTTCCCAAGATTTACTTGCTGAGGGTCTCAATGTCCCTCTCCCAGGCCTCTCAATGCTGTGCAGATCCCAGGCTGAGGAGAGCGCTGCAAGTGGGGGAGTTGAGGTGGGTGGACAGGGCTGGACACCAGGAGGGGTCCATACAAGGGCCCTGTTGGTCTGCCTGTCCACCGTGTCTGGTCACACCTAACCTAGGCACCCCCTGTGCCCGGGACTTTGGACAGTAAACAGAAGGGAAAATGGAGTTGGAACTCACAGGGCAGTGGGGGTGGAAGTGGGGGAGGGGAGTGCCTTGCACTTTCCCTCAAGAGGAGGGGTCTCCAGGTTATCCTCCCACCCAATCCCCCATGCTATCAGCCAGTCATCACATCCTTCTTACCCAACTCGGGAGAAGGTTCAATCTCTGGGGTCCGGGGTGCAGTTTAGGGTTTCCTCTCTGCTCCTCCCCCTCCTGCTCCCTTCCTGCTGGCTGAGTTTCCCAGAATTGTCTCCAAATACTCTGACCAGGATCAGAGGGATCATTTCTCTGCTCTTGCCTAATCCTGTGGCCCTGGCATCTAGGTCCAGAGCTCAGCTTCCTGGGGGTTCAGGCCTGACTGCTTCACTCTTCAAAGGAGAGAAGTTCTTGGGGGGTAGGGAATGGCTCTTCCCGCTCTCCTTCTCTTCCTTGCCATTGGTGTCAACAAACCTCCACTGAATCTCTACTACTTGCCAGGGTTCTCTTATGTTAATGCTGATCCTTACCCCCAGAATACATCCCATTCTGCAGATGAGAAGAATGATGCCTTGGATGGTTGTGCTTGCCCAGGATCACACTATAAGGAGCAGTAGTGGGAGGAATGAAATTAAGGCAGCCCTCAGAGTCATGGTACCCCCTGGACAAGAATCCCTTCTCATATGCTAAAATCCAGGCACCAAGTGAAACTTTGTCTCATTTGCTTTGGGCATTTCCTCAGGAGGAACCTCAGAGAGACATGATGCTGGGAAAGGTCTGCCAAAGAGAAGAAGACTGTCAAGGAGATGGTGCCTGCAACATGGGCACATCGGAGATGGTGAGGATGGTGCAGGACGGGCAAGGTTCAGATCTGTTGTTCCCAGGGCCGTCCAGAATTATAGTAGACTGGAAGGTAACTAACAAGTAGCCTTGGGAGGGATGAGGATGGGGCTTTAAAGAGAGCTGCGTTCAGAGAGGAGTGTGTGAATCACAGTGGTGGTAATTATAAATCAGGTAGTATATAAAAGATGTTAATAAGTCATACTGTTGGTTGTGAATGTGAAGTCGTGTCAACTCTACTTGACAGATACTTCAGTGAGAAAGCTAGCCTTGCGTTTTGAGAAGCCTACATGACCGTGACATGTTCAGGAACACGTCCCAGCTATGCTGGTGACCATTGGACTATCCATTTGGAATTCTTGGCTCTAGCACTTGAAAGCTGGTTTCCTCTGGCAAATGCATCCCACTGCTCCACTCGGAGCTGCCTCTGTAGCAAGAGTGGCGGGAAGAGCACATGGGGACTTGAGATGATGGAAACTTTCTGCTTCTTGAGCTGGAGGCTGGCTCCCAGCTGTGGTTTTGGTCCGTGAAAATGTGGAAAGCAGTCCACTTGTGATCTGTCCATCCTCCTGTTTGGACTTCACAGTGGAACAGGATGCTTTTGAGATCAGAACTACACCCCACAGTCAGGTCCTGGCATGATACTGCGCGTGCACCCACTGCCCACGTGCACCCGCTGCCCACAGCACCAGAGAAGACAGTGATCTGCTGGGCTTCCAAGGCTGTAAATCTTCATGAGATGAAGAGACTTTCAATCTTTCTCCCACAAAGCAGTTGGTAGATTCAAACCACTGACCTTAACCAAGAAAAATCTATGCTGTCGTTCTACTCTGGAACACGAGGTATCTATGATTCAGTCAACTCAATGGCAACTAAAATCAACAGCAAACCCATAATCATGCTTTCAACTCAGACAGTGCCTAGGAAGCATTTAGCCAGGGCTGACAGACACTCTGTAGAGCCAGGGACTAAATGAAAAATGAGAGTCCTAAAGAATGAGGATCAAATGATGGAAATGAGAGTAAAGAAAGACGAACAAACAGCACAATGCCCTGGGCTTCCGATTTACAGGAAAGCCCCATGCACCTATTAGAGATAATACTGAGTAAACATAAGGCTGTGCACCCAGCACTCTGGTGGCACAGTCCACAGTGAATTACGAGCTGTGCCACTAACCCAAAGGCTGCACATCTCCGGGGGTTCGAATCCTCCAAGCAGCTCTACAGGATGAAGAAGGGCACACTCCTCCCAGTGATGGTCAAGCCCCCTTTACACTTCAAAAACCACAGCCTGGACTGTGTGAGGCCTTCAGGCCACAAGTCTCCTGCTCTCACTTTCTATTGCCAAGCAACAAATGGCCATCATTTTAGTGCTGCCTTAAAACAATATCCGTTGATTAGTTTACAGTTCCACAGGTCAGAAGTTCATCAGAACAGGAACTAGGCAAGGATGCCCACTATCACCTCTTTTATTCAATATTGTTTTGGAAGTCTT